CTTGGGGATATGACAACGCAGGAGTTAGTCAGGGCGATGATGGAGGCAGCAAGGACCTCTGAAATGTCGGTGAACTTCTACCAGACCACGCAGTGCAACAACACAGAAGACAGCCATCTTCAACAGAATGCTTATTGACTCTACAGTTGTATACAGTTTACTCTCTTCCTCTTCTTATTAAATTGACCTCTTATGTTTATACAGTTTTATCTTTCTGTCTCTGTGATGTACTTACGAGAATGTGAGACTTCATGTTCTTACTGTGGTGCATATGAAGGTGGTTGTCTGCCAGGTTGTTGCTCCGTGTAGTGTGGTAGAAGTTACTGACGTTTCAGGGGTGCTTTCTGCTCTACAAAAGACAACCACCTTTGTACAGGGTAATATTTTCCTTTTGTTTCTTTGGGTCTTACAAGGGAATGGTCCGGTTGGTCATGTTGAAACCTCACCTGAAATTTTGCTCATCTACAGAGCCCATCTAGTAATGATAATACACAAAATTTCAGCTGCTGATACGCTGCGCAAGCGCCTGGCCCACGCTCTCCGTTGCAGTGTACTGGTGAATACCGTGCCACTGCTTGCGCACTGCCATCAGACGCATGTGCAATGGCACGAATTTTAAATATACATTCGAATTTTGAGCAATTTTTTCACACCCTTGCACAGTATATCAGCAGTTGAAATTTTATGTACAATCACTACTAGATGGGCTCTGTAGACAAGCAAATTTTCAGGTGAGGTTTCAACATGACCAACGGACCATTCCCTTGTTAGTACAGTGAAACCTCTATCTATCGTTCCCGGAACTATCGTTTTCCCGGATGCATCGTCCGTTTTGTTCGGTCCCGAATACATCCCATATAAAATAATGTTACATTTTCCCGCTTCTATCGTTCCTCGAACTATCGTTTTATCGCATCAAAAATCTTAGTCCCGGCCCACAATTTTCCCGCAATGATCGTTTCTGAGAAATTGTAACGAAATTTACGTGATATTTTTAGAATTTAATTCCGAAAGACGCACAATGTTTTTGGAATAAACAGTAGCGGTAACCTGTTATGTCGCCCAACCAGCACAGTATATTTAAGGATTAGTGTTTAATGCTACATTGATATCAAACTGGTGAAGTTATTCAATTAAGTAAGTATTATTGGCTTTACCTGGACATATAGATTGGATTGGCAGTCTGTTAAATTTCTGTTGCATAGAGCTGTCTGTGTGTTCCAAGATAGCATAACATGGTTAAATCATGTTAATGTAACCTATTGTAGAAATAACTGTGACAAATGTGTGGATATCCTGACAAAGAAGAGTAATTGAAGTGGAAAATTAGCCACAAGGTGAAGTATTTTATCTTAGAAAATGGGTATCTAAAGGACTACTTTGGTTTAACAAAGGAAGGTAAGAAGCTTTAATTATTTCTTGCATCTCTTAAATTGTTTTATTTGCTCTGAATCCAGGTTACAGTTACTTCCTATCTCAAAAATAGTCACCAGTGAGTTTGATATAAAAGAGAATGTTCATAAATAATTATGCAGTGTGTGGGTAGAGAACAGGGTGTTTAGGTTTTATTACATGTAAGAAATTAAGTGCATAAGTTATAATTGTTAACTACTGTCAGGATGACTAATTCACATTATATTGTCAGTGTAGATGTTGAAAGCTCATGCTGTTTCACGTATCTGTCATTACATTTTACTTTTCTTGTTTGTTAATTTTTATGTTGTTGAATGATTCACATGCGACATTCATATTGACATCTTGTCTAGTCAGCAGTTCATTCTGGCTTCCATGCAGATCACTTTTCTTCGACAAAGTCAGGTCTCTGTGAATGTAGGAAACAAGGTACTGGCACTAAAGATGGCCCACAATTTTAATTTAGCAGTAACTGTGAAAATCAGTGCATGCAACACTTGTTGATACCTGCTCACTCTCAAGTTGTCTGCTCACAAGACCAAGGACAGAATATAAATTCCTCGCTGCTGGTAGTCGCAAATGTCCAAGAATTTCTGATGATGAACTTTTAACAAATTCAACTAAGCAAATTTCCTAATATTTACGTGGAGTTAATCATGGTTAATCACTTATTATTATACATAGAAATAAAGTTTATTTTATGTATTTCTATAAGCTGTTAAGAGTTTAGGGCATTCCTTATTGCAAAGTTGAATAGCAACATAAATATTTGGTAAAACATGAAATTCCTAAGATGTCCAAGCTGTTAAAACTCTGATATTTCTGCTTGTTTGTAAAAATAAAAAGTAAAAACCATTAGCAGTGCTAACAATGTTTTAAATTTGTAGTCATCTTTTATTTTTGCGAATTGTTCAGCTAAAGTTGAGTTAAATGCAACTGTGGCAAAATTTAGTAAATAGCTGCACAATGCAATTTTCATCTTGTTATTTTTAAAGTGCCTTTCATTTTAATCTTGCACCTACAAATACATTTTGTAATAAATACTTGTTCCCTAAACTTCTTGCAATTCTTTAAAAATAATGTAGATGGGCCACCTTCGGACCCTCATGTCACAAAGGTGGGCTACATGTAGAGTTTTCTGTTTTGGTTTGTGGTTTCAAAATCCTGTAACATTTTCACAATGTTTGTATGCCCCTTTATTCTCACTTGCCTAGGGTTCAAGGGTGCAAAATTTAGAAATTCTAGTTGCAGTACACAAAATTAGAAAAGTTGCCAAACTCAAAAGGACCACCTTTGGCACTTGTACATTAATCTCTGCCCTCTGTAGTTTAGAGGCCATGCCCCCTGTGTCATACATCATATGCAATAAAACAGAATTCCAGCCAAAAATTATACAGTATCATACCTGTGAGCAGAGTCCAAATAGGTTAGAAAATCATATCCAAGACATTTAAAACAAAAAGAGAACCTTCAAGTTGCAGATTTTCTTTCTTTATTGTACCTATATGGAGTTTGGTACTTAACATAAAAATGAAGAAACAAACAAGCCTTTATTTCAGGACCTTATTGTAGAAATGTGTCTTTCATGTTTCTTTCCTTCATACTTTTTCCTTTTACTTGGGGACTATTTGGTGTTTGGGTACGAAATGGGTGGATTTTCTGTCTATCTTACTAGGCCAGTAGAAAAAGGACCTGTGTTTATGAAGTCTGTGGTGTGAAATAGGATCTCAAGCTACTCAGACTTCTGCTAATGAACTCGGAAATCTAGTGGAGACTTAGTTTGTTTTACTATCATCCATCAGATTCGCAGAAATTAACAATTTGATTTAAGGAAGTTCTAAGGAGAACTTGAGGCCTACTTTCAAATTAGTAATTATGCAATTATTGATATCCTTCTGTCCAAAACTTTCACTAATATGAATTCCTACTACCTGAAATTTACCAGACATAACCTCAGAGTTTCACACTGCTGCCACATTTGAAACTTTTAACATATATAAAAAAATTGTTACAGAATATGTGTATGTGTTTACTCGTTATCTCCATGCCATGTTTCACCTACTTAGCTGCAAGGGTTTATCAGTTCTTTCTATTGAACAAAAGGCAAACTATGTTTTATGCCAGTACCGTGCTCTTATTTTACTTGTGCTAGAACACATGCCAACAAAAGTTGAGCCCTCTTTCAAAGATCTGTTACCACAAAAAGCTTAATGGCATTGCAGTAAGTGCTAATGTCACTCTTATATGAGTAATTTGACCAATAATCATGTTGAAATAATCTACATAGGGAGTTAAAAATGTAAATACTGATTTGCCTCTAGCAGTATGGTGTCCATACCAAGTTTTATAAAATCTTATGGGCAATTCATACTTTTTCTTTGCAGACACATCTGCTCACCCAAGGGGATGTTATCACTTACAGTTGAATGTTGCAAGTTTTATATGTGGAAATCTGTTGGACCTAATATCATTTAGGTCACCTATTATCATAATCAGCAGCAGTAAAGAATTAATAGGATATTTCTAAATCAGACACCACATTACTGAAAGCTTCACTTGGTAATCTGAACATAGATAGAAATTGTTACATTTTAACTCAAGTTTTTGAATGTGGTATAGGTTGGGAACTCTGGCCTGCCAGCAGTCGGTTACTTCCTGCTGTGCATATGTCACATTTTTGTAATATTACAATGCAGAATTTGTGATCTTGTATTGTCATAGTTGTATTATATATTTGTATATAAGGTTTTAGTAGGTGAACCTTACATTTTTTGTTCATTTCAGTTTGTATTGTATTGTGTATATTAACTGTGTATTTTATTTATATGGAATACAGAATAATTTATCATTTGAATATGTGGTATTTAAATTTATGCATCCTGGTACAACTGCTTCATATAGAAATGCTTGATTTGAATCTAAGCAAGGGAACCCAGATAGTCATTTGCTTGAATCCTAAATTAGCCAGAAATGTTTATTTCCTGCAGTTGTGAATATGTTCACAATTAGTAGTAGCAGTAGAAAGAATAACACTTTTCATTTTGGGGGTACAGATCTTTTGTTAAACTTGTTGGGCATGATCTCAAAGGTAATTGTTTACTTATAAACAGTATTTTATATGCAATCTTTAGATATGCTTATGACTTATCTGCATGTCAAATTTCATGTGCATAGCCTGAACCAGTCACCTTCAAACTGAAAGATAAGTGTAGAATTTTTGCAGGTGCCTTTTTATTGTTTTACATTTTACACAATAATTGCTCTACAAAATGTCAGTATTTTTCTGAGATTTATTTCTGTTTATCATTTCAGGACCCTAGATGAAGTGGCACTAGTGTTGCTTCAACCTTACTGCTTTCTGTGCAAGCCATATTGTTGCTAGTGAGTGTAGGAAATTAAAAAGTTTGAAGTTGGAGTGGCTTACAGAGGTATAATGCTCATACAGTATTGTGAAAATTAATGCTTATCACAATTTACTTGCTAGTTGGAACATAATTTTTCCAGCTCTGGTAAAATAATAAGGGTGTACACTGGAAGATGTCT